TACGATGTGAAGTCAGTGGTACTACACGTATCACAGACTTAACCGGCGAGTCACGAATGGCACTTCAAACAAACTACACACATTCATCAACACCTGTCTTCGCTCAGTACTACTCAAGATCAGATGGCCGGTCAGAAAAGAACAGCAACAGGGATCTCTGGTAATGAACGAACCAACCCAGCAAAAACCAATTGTGCAACAAATGTGCAGGAAGAAATGGAGGTGAATTGGATTGGCCATACTCTGAGAAAACCATCGAGTGAAATCACACGCCAGGCTGTCGCTCAAGTGGAACCCGAATGGGAAAAGGCTAGTTGGTCGTCAGTGCGATGGTGACATGGCGAAGGTGATGTGAGTGGAGATGAGAGCATGTAGGCAGAAGTGGGGTCAGGCTAAAACGTTGGTGAAGAAGCGAACGCAATGGAGACGTTCGACTGAAGCCCTATGTTTCCCTAGGAACTAAGGGAAACAATAATAACAGTATCATCTACATTATTCTACCTTTCAAATCAGAAACAGCTTTATAATATTTACCTCAGTTGTTAGGATTTATTCACTGATTTTGAAATACGCTTCTTATTCGATCAAATCAAACTGTTACTGTTCAAACCTGAATATTCTGAAAGCGTTAACTATTCAAGAGTTTCTTGTTTCAATATACAAAAATCATCAATGATCACGTATTCTGAACACATTCATCTAATCCACCATAGGTGAATGCAATCATACTGTAATTTCTTGTAACAGTTTTGTAAGCTGACATAAGGATCATTTAAGATAGACTTTAAGTATGTGTTAATTGGATATCTTTTTGTCAGGCTAAGCGTACTCATGGGTGATTTCTGCAGAATATGCCAACTGTTTCCAACTTCAGTGTGAAATTAGTTATGAATATGTTGTCTAGAAAGGCAATTAAGGACTGCCAATTGAGTTATTTGGTGCAGAAAACACGGCAACCATAAATACATTCACCTTAGTCAGAAATATTTACCAGCATTTCAAATACAGATTTTGTATACTGTATTGTGGCGGGGGGTGGAGGTGGGGAAATGAAATGTGTTTTTAAGGATGTAAGCCTCATGAAACGACTAAACTGTAGTTGCAAATAAAAATGATGTTCTTTACCAAAAACTTCTTCCTTTTAACGATTTCTTTATGGACTTACTATGAAAGTGTGAAAATGAATTTAACAGTAAACCGACTTGTTGCTAATCGAAACAAGGAAAATTTAGGGTACTGATGGTACTCAACCGTGGTGATTAACAGTTACAAGCGTCATTTATTACTCACAGTCATATCAGTTCATTCACACCGCTGCATAATTTGCTTTATATATATATATCGCCCCCTTGTTATTTATTATAATTTTACATATATCCGGTAAAGGTGTTGAGTCATTTCGACTGAATGTGTTCGATGGTGATTAAATGAACAGAGATTCAGTAATTAACCTCTCTGTCGAATCAACTTTATCACTTTGAAATGATTTCACTCTGCCCCACCATACGGTGGGACGTCCAATAGCTGGAAGATAGAATTAGGATTAGCGACAAATTCTTCAAATGTATTTGCTTGCTGTTTCCCAATGTATAATTACATTCGTTAAGGCATAATACATTTATAATTTCAATGTACATCAGAATAAAATAGAAAATCTTAGCTTTCAGTTGGCAGTATTTTCACAATCCTGGCTTTTATTTCTTAAATGAACCCTATAAAGATACCAAGTAATCAAAAAGCATCCTTGTTATATATAAAACCTTTTCATGATCAATATCGTCTTTAATATTTAGTTTAGAATTCCGTAATATTTAACTTCTCTCGCTGCAAAATATGCAGGAATAATGAATAAGCTAGTTTTCATAACAATATTCCTACCTTGGTTGGAAACTAGCTAGTAACTAGTGTAATTTTTCTAGTCTTTTGGTTGGCGTTCATTGAAATCTATCAGTCAGATATGACTCTGACTGTAGCGCTGCGTGACGCGAGTTTGAATCTCAGAAGTTACATGAGCTTGTAGATTCATCTTGCTGCTAACTAGCACTAAACCTGGGCCTCATGGCCCAATTGCCTCCAATCATCTAATATCAACAAAGATATTTCTAATCAATGAAACTATTTTCCACTAATCTTGAGGGTGTAAGATAACCTAAGTGAACTTAATGATGATACAACCACTGAATAATCCTTTTTTCTCTAGCCATATGGCTTGCATTGGATATATTATGAACAGAAAACTTTCATGTGTGTCTACATAATCAGGAAAGAAATTTCTGCTTTTCAAACTTTGCCTCGAAAGAATACTACCTACCGATCCACTTTTCACTAATCTGCATAAATCTGATTAACTGACACTAATATAATATCACCCCAAAACAAAAGTGTCCCAAGAAACTTTAGTTGGCTACTCTCTGTTGGCATGAAGTCATCAACCTAGAATTCATGTTAGAAGACGTCAAGAAACTGATGAACAAACAGTAAGCAGAGCAGCCAATTGGGACCAAATGGCTGTTCCGATTATCTTTCAGTTTCTGAACTAGGTGAGACAACATTTTTGAAAATCACGTTTTTTGGTGTGGAGTACTACTAGTTCGGAGATTTTAAAAAAATTCCAAACTCACAAATACAGGCATAATCAATTCACCGGCAATTTATGACATCACTTCTACTTTACACTAGGATGCTTGCAAACTAATATGGAATTACTTACTTCCACAGTGCCCAAGTTTTACACATATATTAATATGCTTGCGAAGTGTTTAAAAATCTAATGTACCACAGGTTATTGACTGTTTGTTTCTAAATTAAGACTAATTCATGAAGATTCACTTCATTAAATGGTTACTAAATAGTTAAGAATTTCAAGTTTTCTTGTCGAAAGTGCCAAATTAATTATATCTATGAGGTTCAGACATTTTATATTGTGATGCACTTTTTTACGTCACTTCTGGAAACAAGCCGCCGATAGGAATGACTGACAAATGAGCTTGGATTTTCTAAAAACTGAATGCACTTATGGTTTCAAATCCACTTACTGATTGCATCCGATTATCTAAAATTCGACTTCCTATGCAACTACTGTCAGGTAACTGAATATAACTGAATCTTTAATACATACACTTTTAAATGTACACCAAGCGAAGTTGAGTTTAAGGTATGAAAAAGCATTATGTTTTTGGGTAAGATAAGACAAAATCTACAGTTTTTAAAATGCTTCTCAAGTAAACACTTTAACAACTACTTTATCTGGTTCCATCTGAAGACTTATTAAATTCTAATTTGTAATCAGAAGTTAGGTTTCGGGATATTAGCTGGGAGAACATTAAGAAGCATTACTAAAGAGTCATTTTCATCTTACTCTTCAACAGTCCTAAGGGGAAGTGGTGGTCACTGGGGGCCACTGATTATCATTATGCGAACAGTTATATATATTTATTGAAATAGACGGTGGTGGTACTACGTCACGAGATAGCACAAGTCTAGAATGACTGATCATTTAGGTCCTTTAACGGGAGGGTAACAAACTTGAAAAGTAACATGTTGATCTCTGACTTTACTGTTCGTGGTATTGCGGTTGAACAATGCTGTAGAGTCTCAAAGTGGGGAGATACAGTTAACTTATATTTCTGATTTCTCATCTGTCCTCTGGTTTGTTTCTCTGTATGGTTGAAACTATTCGTAAATTGAAATTTTAATTTGACCCATGACAATGTTGTATTCAATACATAAATGAGAATAATAAATGCACTCATCAAATAATCAAGACATTTTGAATTCATCTGAAATGAATCCCTTCAAAGTGATGAGAAATGTCACATTTGCATACATCTTTAAAAAATTTTAGGTTTTCATTTACAGGGATTCGATGATTTCAAATTTTACTGGCGGTCGCGCTATACATCGTGAATTAGAACAAATTAGAATTCCTGAGGCACTGGATTCCATCTCAGTGGTTAAATGTTCAGCAAGCTCGACTTGTAAGCCGAAGGTCCTGGGTTCGATCTCTAGTGGTGTCATAGGTGCGTACTGCTGGGAAGTTCCAAGGTAGGACGAAACAGCTGTCTACTATTCTTTGTGGGTTTTCAATGGTTCTCACACTGAAGTCAGTTAGTTACTATATCTGAAAAATTTCAAGTTTACTGGTAACCTACCAGTCAAAAATCCGTACTGACTGTTTGAATTAATGTGATCTGCTTGTGTATAACCCGGTAGCGTAAACATAACAACATATAAAGGTACTGCAGTCTTCAATGTATGATTCACTATTGTTCGGTTTTTCAATTTATTACAGTGTTAGGAAGAAATTACTTTCCTATGAATAAAAAAACAAAATGAATTCATCCAGTTTGTTATCTGCGTCAGCTATACAAGTTACTGCTTTCAACACAAAAGTTATGTCCATCTCGTTATCCTACACACACTTTTCGCCTTATAATCAAATCAATAATCCATATTTTGCCACAAATAAGACATGACTTTCAAAACGCTTATTCTATCGATTTCCTAGAAAAAAGACTAGACATACCACAATGCCTTATACCCATTTAAAGGAAAATATTGATAACTTTTGAATTACTCCTATTCATACTTGTCAGCGAATGTCCAAGCGCAAATTTTGCCTACCTCTCAAAGTTGCCTGTTAATGTGCTTAAATGTTATGTAACTGTGCCAGTGTTGTGTGCGGATAGTACTCGTTGTTCACACATGTGCAAGTAGGTTTGTCTCTCTCTCCCTATATATATACATATATATGTATATGTATATATATATATATATATATATACAGACAGGCAAGTATGCAGGAGAATAAGAAATTCACCTGGGTATTTTGACCAGTCAGTTACTTCTTCATCAGTATGTCCTACAAATTGTACCAATCAGCAGTATTTGACTCCCTGTGTGCGTAAATATTTCCTACCGATGCGGCAACAATTAATACTAGTGTGTGCATGTGATGCCTGCAACTATTGACCGGTTGCGTGGGTGCAAAATTAGTGTGACGCATTTAACTGTAAAAGTGATCAGTTAAGCAAAGGTCTCATAAATTTCTTTTTCTACGTCCTTGATTATTATTTATTAAGTCAATAAAGATACTATTTGAGCATAATATTATGGATAAGAAGGCATAAATACACTTCTCATTGCGCCAGACAAATGATAAACCCAAATTAGTGCCTTTAAATAAACAAAAGAACTATGCATCCTCTTCTAATTGAATACAAGAGAGATGCATGATTAAATGTTTCGCTTAGAAATGTCTTCTGTAAACTAATACTGCTACTTTCGGTTTCAAAGAACAATCACTATTGTAACAAAAAGGATCCCAAACTCCTTGTTATTGCATATATTACAATGACGACGTCCGAACTTGAAGGTGGTCGATTCGATTTCGACGATGGTGGAAGTTATGTTGGTGAGTGGTGTGAAGGAAGAGCACACGGACTTGGTATAGCTACTGGGCCAGAAAATCAAGGTGAATATTCAGGTGAATGGAATATGGGTTTTGAATCTCGAGGTGTATATATATGGCCAAGTGGAAATATTTATAGTGGTACCTGGCTCAAAGGTAAACGTCATGGTGAAGGTGTGCAAATTAAAGGACGTTGGGTATACAGAGGATCATTTACCACTGGATTTTGTGGTCGTTATGGTATCAAGGAATCTCTAACCAGTTGCGCCAAATACGAAGGAAGCTGGCATTTAAACCAGTTTGATGGTTTCGGAGTAGAAACAAATTCTGATGGAAGTAAGTACTACAACATTTAGTCCTAATTTTTTAAACATCTTCTCTTAGATTTTAACTTTTATAAAAAAATTTTAGTTACATTTTATCTAAATCAGATTCTTATCTCAAGATATTCTCATCCTGGTGTTAGAAGTAGGCAAATAAAGTGAATAAAAAGGTAGGAGTTATCACTCAAAAGTGACTGACTTTTCCCACAAATTTGAATGGCTTGTTGATTGATTCTTCTGAATAGTTTGTACTGAAACTACTATACTTCGCATAATAAGTGTACAGTGGGCTAACTGAAATGGTAATCGCCCTCAACTTTGTCTTACGTAAAAGACGTTCAAGTTTTCTTGGGAAACAATCATCTGAGTCTATTCTTGTTCAGATAAAATGTAGCATCATAATTTCGTCACATAAATCAACTTACAGAATGAAAGAGAAAATCCTGTTGGCTAGGTCTCAAAGAAACCAGAATGTTCAGTGGAAGAGCTTAGATACAGCCGACTTGCATAACAGGCTAATTACAAATACAGCCTGATCAGAAAGGTTTCTCTTTCAGAATTATCATATCTACTGGTTCAAAGTACCTACCATTTTGTGAATTACCGACATGACTGATGGTCATTCAAATCTGACCTACAGAAAATACAAAATTCGAACTGTTGATTAAGCCACAAGCGGTGGTTTTCTCTGTCACTGCATATGTATATGTATATATACATATACTAATTATAAATACACTTATTATAAACTTCCACTGTATAATTTTCATATCTTGCTGCAAAATAATAATACACAACTTTCATTACAACTGAGAATAAAGAATTAGTAATATTATAACTAGTGCAGGTGATTCATGAGTTGAACGGTCGATGACTAGTAACAAATTATTAGCAAGACAACTTAGAATTAAATGAAAAATTTTTTACAAAAGATAAGCCTCACAAGTTTCAAATCGAATCATTTCACCCGATCTTCAAAACATTTCTGATTATCTTCACGGATGCAGGTTGGTAACAGATTGACCTATAAAATATTATTGTGAATATCCAATCGCTTCAGTTTTTTTTACTATTGGGATACCTAGTATGTGGGAGATATTAGATTTTCTATAGTTTTTGGTTTGGAGCAGGTTGGAGCTTCCTGCAGTTCTAGTGAGAAGTCGTGACCAGTGAGGTCCAATTAGAAGTCACGTGTGGATGGATTTCCACCAACGACAATAGTTGGGGTCGCGCTAAAATCACGAATTGGTAGAAGTTAGAATTCATGAGCCATTGAATCGGGTCCCAGTGGCTGAATGGTATACGAGCTTGCCTTGTAACCGGAAGGTCCTGGGTTCGAATCCCAGTGGGTGCGTACTGCCGATGATTCCCAAACTAGGATGAAACAGCAGCTGTCCAGTACTCCCTGGTTTTCAATGGTTCTCTAACTGATATCAGTCCGTGATCAACTCGTAAGATATTAGATTTACTGAATTAAGTGCACTTTGTTGAATTAAATTTCCCGGTGCAATTATTTATTTGATAAAACGATAGACTGTTGTCTGTAATCACATCAATGTTATAAGACTTTGTCATAAATTATGCCCCGAACATTATGCAACAGGTGATACACTGCATCAGTGTGTACTTTACTAAACAGACGATCTTATATATATATATATATATATATATTATATATATATATATATATTAAATAATACAAATTATTGATGAAAGAATAGTTTCGTTAAGAAACACCTCATATCTTCATTATCAAGCTGGTTTCTCTAAAGCTGAAGTGGTGAAACCAGGTAGCTTCGAGAAGTTCTCCCTGAAACCTTATTTGATGTAGCAATCTTTTAGAGTATTGCATTTGATAAATTTGTATAGACCAGCCATGTTAGAATTCAAATTCGGGTAGCAAAATGAAGAACAGTAAACTTAAGCTTAAAGTTAGTGACAAATACAACAATATATGCTTAAAATATACATAATATTACCATCCCTTAAAATGTAGTTTCTATATTAGGGCTTTAACTGACTTTGACTAGCTAATTTAAAACAAAACTCCTTATTGGTTAGTAATTTTTTACTTTACAAAACCAATAATCACGTTACCATGAAGCAGATAGCCAGAGTTATTTTGACGGATATCAAATTACAAGAAAATTTTAAATGTGGTCATGCTTACCTTAACAACATGACTAAGCAAGTTAGACTGTACTTGAGTAGCTAAATAAACAAAACAAAAAAAATTCAATAGACTGTGAATTTCTGAATAAATTATGTTTTGGTCCTGTGATAGTGTGCATACTCATCTCCTTCAATTCGGGTGGCATCTACAGTAGGATTAAAAACTAAATTTTCTTTTTTTTTCATCGTTTATTTTGTAAGTTATGTGAAAAAGCTTTCATCAGGAAAAATCCTTAATAACACCTATTCCAAATTTCGGCTTTTGATCAATACCTTCTAATAGTTACTTATAATTTCAGTGATATTGTTTTCCGCGATAATGACACAGGGCATGCTCTGAACTAATGTGAAATATTTAAATAATTAAATTTGCAGCAGATAATTTTTCCCCAGTTTATGGGAAAATCATTTAACTAATACCAGCAGTATATCCACATTTCCCACGTGTTAGGGTCACACTGATATGCTATTTTAACCCATAGTGAGAACTCACCAAAGACTGAAATTTATGTATGCTGTTATGTTTCCCATCATCTTCTACAGACACTTTTCTTTCCAACTTTTTTCTCACACCATTTATATCATTCCTATGTTTACTTTTAATCCTCGTTGAAATGTTTTGTTTACGCAAACTGAGCTGTTACGTTCGTGTCTGTGCTTTGTTACGCGTAACTTACTTCCTAAGCATAAACTGTCTTTCCCATCACTGCTTTCATTGTTTGAAAATGTTTGTCGTCTTTTTTTCAGCAAAAAATGTTTAAAGTGTTAGTGTGTGGTAGTGGTTTCTGTAGGATGTTGAACATAGATAGGCTGGTAAATGTTTACTTTCTGCTGACTGGTAAGGCATTTATCTTATTGACTTTACTTTGAAACTGAAGTAAAACGAATTGCATCTGTTGGCTTACTTATGTGACAACATAAATAAAGTAGTGTGTATAGGCAGTAAAAAACTACCCAAGTAATTAAGCTCCTGTTGCTTTCGTATTACATTTCAAGGTGGATTCTGACATATATTTGACGGTATCTTGAACAGATGGCTCATACGGTCTCTTAAGCCAAAGTGGAAAATTGTTATGCACATTGATCTAACATAAGTATCCTTCACATCTAGACGTTATTTTATTGGTTGATTGTCTACTGTGTTAACAAGGGAAGAAATAAGAACCACTAAAATGATGGGCTTAATACGTAACCAAGTAGTTAAAGCCCGTTATGCACTTTTAAATAATGTCTTTTAATAACCTCAAAAATGTACAACTGAGCCTCAGAATTACTCACAAGGCATTCAAAACGGATACAAGCAATTTTAGAAGAACCTTGTTTCCAGTGGCTTTCAGTTGTAGGCATTCAATGCAGCTGCTTGTACCAAAACTTTATACACTTATCTATCAAATTAATATGGTAGTAACACTTGAGTTGACAGAGAGTCGCATACGCAACTACGATACTTGTCATGCAGCTCAAATCCCAAGTGTCATTACTTCTACAGGAACTTAAATAACTGCTTAAGCACATACCTCATCTTCAAGGATAAATTCTTGCGCATTTTACTGTCAATCTTTTGAACATACTCTACACTGTCAACAATTATCAGGAATTGGCTGATGTTGTCACTCAGTAAGACAATGTCGTTTGAAAGTAACCTCCACCATTGTGGCAGATCAACACCACCAATACACATCTTCAAAACTGTCCGTACACTCTCATTCTTTAGACTGTTGAAAGGAGTCACGATGAACATAAACTGAGTTTACCTCAAACACCACCTAGTACAACCAATGAATTTGGGCTACCGTTATCTAAGGCTTTTGAGATGCTGATACACGTTTTAAAGACACTTTTGCATTAAAAACATTCCTATTCCACGAAATGAAGACAAATCAGATATTAAGAGATTAAGCTCTTACCAGTTTCAAATGCACGCAATACTCAAAAAATTAAATAATACTTTATTCGCTCCACGAAAATTGATTTCTTACACATTTTTTGGTCTTCAAAGCACATTAATAGACCTCGTGCTCAGTAGCAGTCACCACATCAATAAACAACTGTGGCAATCAAACTGAGTTTTAAATCAACCACGCTAGCGTTTAAACAGCGTTTCATGATTAATAACTGCCTCACTAATACAGTAATTTTTGCTGGCAGCAGCTCGAATCAGGTATGATAGTGAATTATATTCCCACTCTTAGGTTCTACTCACAGTAATGCACTATTACTTATCCAAAACGTTACATGAATGTTATACCTGGAAAGGCGGGAATACAAAGAACATAAATCTTATTTTACTTTCTTTGTTCTAAAGGATCTGGTTGACATAAAGGCGATTTTCAGTATGAAGCACTGGAAAGGTAATTCGTCCTTGCTTGTATTGATTTTGTTTATCAGACACTGGACATAACGCTTGTTTTGAAAGCTGGTAGTTTTGCAATCGAGGATTCTCAACAGCCTACTTGAACGCTCTTGGGGGGTTCTAAAATTAAGCGAATTACAGATTTTCAGCATACTTTGACTTCAGATTATTTTCAAAGTTATATCTGTTCATACCGAAATCCACTTGAAATTAAGATTGTTTGTTAAGAACTATTATACTACATAACTAAAAACTGAGGTCGAATAAAAGCCCCAGCTAACCAGTATATATATATGCATATATTTGAAGGAGAGCATGAAAGATAAGAATGGTACGTTTTACAAGTGATCACAGTACTTTTGGCAGCTTACCAAAAGACTTTGAGAGTGTTTTAAATTTGTATGATGGTTATTAAAAAGCTTCACAATAATCATTCATAGAACAATAATAGTGTAGGGGTTCTATATAGGAATACTTACCGAACATTT